CGTAATTACATATATAATATATGTACATATATATATATATATATATATATATATCTATATAGCAACATATAGCAACTTGACGCATGGCCCATGCACCTGCTGTCGTTTTCCCTTTCCTGGTGGCTCTGCATGCAGCTATATATTAATTGAAAAATGTTGTATAATCCGATATGGATATATCCCCACTTTCTTATAGAGAGTAGGCCCCATGTGAAGCTCTGCTTTTGTGATAGTGGCGATTTAACTCTATTTTAACAAATAAGATTACTCATATTAATTAGAATTCTACCTGCATAGATAATATAGAGCTAAGTAGAGTGAGAAAAAAAAATGATATAAGGCACCGGTTGTGCTCCACTTGTGGGAGGTGCTTAACATGGCGTCCCCAAATATTTTTCTTGATTTAAATTGGTGTTGCAGTTAATATATATTTAAAGTTAGTTCTATTTTCAATTCTTGAATTAAAGGTCAAAAGATTTTGATTTTGACCTTTAAAATGTCCCATAACTTATCTCTAATTAGTGATTATGTCATCTGATTATCAAAACTTAATTGTAAAAGAGACGTGAGCACCTTTTTGGGTTTTTTTTTTTTTTTTTTTTTTTTTTTTTTTTTTTTAATTTAAATAGGTTAAGAAATGACTATTAAGAAGGAACCTGTACCGTTTTCCTTTAAGCTTTTGATATTTGGATAAATGAAAGAACTAATTAGTAACAATTTGATAAGTTGGAGATTACTTCTACGTTTCAGAGATCAAAATGTGACTTGAGTCTTAACATATATTCGGGGGTCTAAAAATGAAATTTTTAACCCACATACATATTTTATATATACATATATAATAGGAAAAAAAAATATTAACAGTGTGTTTGATAGGGTGGAAAAGATAGATGAAAAAAAATAGAAGAAGAATTTTGTAGAGAAAAATGGAATTTTAAGTTGTTTGGTAGAGAGGAAATGAGAAAAGAAGGAAAATGAAAATCCATGGGGCCATCAATTTTTTATCCTTCCAACTTTAAGAAGAAAAGAGTAGGAAAAAAGTTTGACAAAAAAATGAGATTTTAAATAACAATTTTAACATTCACCATTTATCATATTTTTATTTGTAATGGAGTATTATTGTAAAATGCCTTAAATTTAATATTTACTTTTAACTTTTTTTTCTCTTTTACGAAACAACATGAAAGAAAACCATTTTACTTCCTTCATCTAGTTATTTTACTTATCTTTCCTTCCTCTTTTCTATCCATCCTACCAAACATAGAGAGAAAAGATAAAGTAACGGCCATGATGTGAAAGAGGGGTGGAACTCACATCCGAATCTCTAGGACGTTTGGTTCATGAATTTAAAATCATGATTGAGAATTATTCTCGTTTTACGTGTATTTTTTGTGAGAAAAAATACTGTAGCGAGTCACGAGTCATAATTCGAACTGTGACATGAATTCCACTTCAAAACACACGCACAATCAAAACTCCTTATCAAAAGAGAGGAAAAAAAAATGAACGTGAGGTCTACTTTTCTTTAAGTGGACATGAAGCGAAAGAGGGGGGTGGCACTTTTAACGTGCAATCCCTCTTTGCTTTTATGGTTTTTTATAGTTGAGTTTATTCCTGACTACTTACTATTGCTTGGAATATTTGTTTGAGAAAACTATCTCAAAAATGTTTTAATTAAGTGCTTTTCCCGTTTCCATCCTTAATAGTATTATAAGGATAATTGGTACCGCTACTTCTTGAATTTTTAGTATAATGCCATTTTGATTCTTAAAATTTTGATTTTGACATATTACTTTGCGAACTTTTTTCCTGATAGTTTTGATCTCTGATACTAAAATTAACATACAATTTTTAAAAGAGAAAATTAATGAACTTACCTTTAAGAATGTACGAATCTGAATTTTTACCCTTTATTTTTTAAATACTATTTTAACTAATATATTTATTTGATTAAAAGGTATTTATCAAGAGTAATTGAGTTAAAAGTCCAAGATCTTTATACTTTAAGGGGTATTCATCCATTTTTCCCTTTCTAAGATTTAACAAAAATAATCATATTGCTTGATAGCTTAAAATTTTACAGAAACAGTTTCTTTATATGCAAATTTTTTATTGTTATAAAACCTGTTGAGGACTATGACATTTTATACTTGAGGTTGTTTGATTGGAGGATTCGTATCCTGATTCGAATCATGGTTCGTGATTCGTTACAGTGTTTTCTCTCACAAAAAATACACGTAAATCAAAAATTGTTCTAATCCATAAACTAAACGTCTCCTTATTGTAATTATTACGAAAATATTTCAACTATTATAAGGTAAGGATGTGATTATATAGATTCATAAATCACATCATAATTACCTAAATAATTTATAGTTTACATGTCATAATATAACCTATAGTTATAACATTGTTTTGTTCAAATTTTTTTTCTTAGGTCTGTTGCTCCTCTCATCAGTACATTTGGATCTTTCTAAACAATATTGGCCAAAGTAAACAACAATCTATATATTATTTTTCAGGTTCCCAAAAAAAGGACTTTCCTTAAATTTTGAAACAGTTGATGGAACTTGGGAAATTCACTTTTTTGTATTAGAAGAAAACACACGCATGTTTTATATCATAAATAAGACATAAAAAAAATAAACGAAAATGGTAGGAAATAAGTAAATATGAAAAGCTTAAGAAAGTATATAAGTTAATTTTTAGTTATAGAAATTAATAGGTCATAATTTGTCAAGTTATGGTTCATAACTAGATAAATTATGGACAAACTTGTCAAGTTATGGTTCATAGCTAGATAAATTATGAACAAAAACCGTGAATTATGGACAATAACTTGTTAAGTTATGGTTCATAACCAGACAAATTATGGACAAAAATAGTAATTTGATATATTTATTAACTTATGTAAACTATTGACCTATTAATTTTAATTCATCTCAAATCTTAACATATTTCCCTCTTTCTCCCTTTTTAGATCGAACCGACGACTTCACACCAAACCCCATCCCCAAACCCCATCCCCATGTCATTAGACAAAAGGTCTTAGACAACTTGAAGAAACAATAAGAATATACTCATTAGCCTTATCATAATCACCTCGTTAATTTAAAGTAAAGCTAGTAGAAAATATTCAACGAGTCTCTCAATAGAGCCTATTGAATAGGTGCACTGAATCCTAAATATACATATTCATTATAAAAATAAAATAAAAAAAAACAATAAGATCACTAACTAAATTATGATAATATTATTCGTGATTACTGGTATGCAATTACTATAATGTGTACGTAACAGTTCATTAAAACGGACTATTATCTTCATTTTTATTATTTGCTTTTTCTGTATTGAGATTAAAATCGTAATTAACAATCTTAAGGCCAATTAATTTTATGTTACATTTTTTTTCCTTTTCTCAAGAGAGCACAACCGCTCATTAAATTTAGTATATATGGTGATGACATCATACGTGTTTGAAAGTTGAAGCCACTTTTTGTTGGTAGCATCAGTATGTATTTAAGGGGAAAAGAAAAAAGAAAAGAAAAGAAAAGAAAATTCCTCTCAAATAAAATAAAAAGAGAAAAAGAAAGAAAGGAACTTGCAAGTATAGATGGTAATTCGTGTCACGTGTCGTGTTCGTGTCGTATTTTGATCGTTTCTTTCTAAATTTATAGTCAACCCGAACACGACCCGTGACACGAAATTTTTTAAAAACCACAATACGAACACGACACGATCACTTTACGGGTTGACACGACACAACACGAAAATGACCCGTGACACAAAATTGACCCATGAACCCGAAATTGACACGAAAATTGTATACTTTTATTTAGTTTTTTACATATTAAAAATAACTTAAAATTCATAACACACTAAAATACAATAACATCCATTGAAATTAAGCAAATAATACTATAAGATTTTGAGTATAACTATCATGATATCATAAGTTCATAATAAAATTAAAATATGTAATGAAAAATATATGTATTTTTTAGTTTTTTATGAGTTTCGTGTCGTGTTCAGGTTAGGCGGGTCCGACCCGAAATTGAGCAGTGTTTTTCGTGTCAATTTCAGGTCGACCTAATTCTGACCCGAACCTCTTTTTTCTCAACCCTAACCCGTGAAATTCGTGTCATTTTCGAGTCGTGTTGTCGTGTCGTGACCCATATTACCGGCCCTACTTGCAAGGTTGGAGACGCAAGGAGGATTTTGGTGGCAATAGGGTTATTTCACACCTTACTAAACTATTCACCAGGACCCCACTTTACAGCACTATATATGACACTACTGTACACACACACATTTTGTTGGAAAAACTACTGCTAATAATTGTAGAATAAAATTTTTTCTCTTGTGTGCTAAAATAGGAGTTCAAGCAAAATGCTAACAAAGTCAATCAATTAAAAAAACAACTAATTAAATAAGTTAAGCACAAATAAGAGACCACCTTTTAGCGTGAAAACCCCTCAAATTAGGAGTAAAATTCACAGGACTCGTAAGTTACTTAAAACTTCTATTATATCAACAATGAGATTATAAAGTTTCTCTCTAGATACAAACTAGAGGCTCACAACAATAATATCATCAAGAAATACTATTCTTGACTCACAAACAACATGACATCATCATCAAAGATGGATAATAATAATACCATGAAAGAAATGCTTAAATCTCACCAAAATAGGAGTAATCAAGAGTATACTAAAGAGAGACTATATGTGAAATTAAGTATAGTAAATGAGAAGAGCTCGCCACAGAGATTCTCCACGTCAAATTTAAGCCAAAATTGACGGCGTTTCACCATATTATACAAACACCAAAACCCTACTCTTTTTTCTCTTTCTCTCTCTTCTTTCTCCCTTCTCTTTTCTTCCCTTCTCTTTCTCTGGATCGCTAGTTACTACTCACGGCAGCCTCATTTCTTTTGTTAGTGCTGCACGTGAGTTTTGCAAGCTTCTTGCTTTGTTTTTTTTTTTTTTTAATATTTTCTTTCATTATTGGCATTTGGGCTTAAAGCCCATTATTTGTTCCAGCCCACAAATGGGGCGGAACCCAATATATATAAATAGTCACTATATATATACTACACCGCCCACTCCTCCTTTTACATGCTTCTTTCCTTCAATTACCCATTTCTGCTTCTTCCTTTCTTTGCTAGTTTGTTTCTCACTCTTTTCTTTCTCTTGAGTGATATATAAATATATAATCTATATAATAATATATACACTACTAATTGCCTTCATGGAAGCCTCTCATGAGGAATTTGTTGGCTCCTCCAACGACAATACAAACAACAACCAAACACATCATATGATCGCCAAAGGCAGGCGCACCAAGCGCCAGAGGCCCTCCTCCCCCTTGATCAGCTCCTCGTCATCGAGCGCCTGCGGCGGCGAAGGCGGAAGAGGGGAGGAATACGGCAATTCGTTCTCGTCGCCGCCGACAACATCTAGCGGCGGCGGCGGCGGCGGCGAGGTCTACGAGAGCACCGAGGAAGAAGAGGACATGGCCAACTGTTTGATTCTCTTGGCTCAAGGAAATCATCGTCAATATCATCGAACACATCAACAGGAGGCCGCAGAAGATCATAAGGTAATCGCCAATAACACCACAAGTAGTACTAATAAAGCCGGTTTGTATGCCTACGAGTGCAAGACGTGTAATCGGACTTTCCCTTCCTTCCAAGCCCTCGGCGGCCACCGTGCCAGCCACAAGAAGCCCAAAACCGCGGCCGCTGTTGACGACAAGAAGCCGACAATCCTCTCCGAAGAATTAGAAGACAATCAAGACGACAAAGAAGAACATCATGTGTTCCTACTCAACAAAACTCTCCAAAAGGTCGGGATTATTAGTACCAGCACGATTACCAACAAGGTTCACGAGTGCTCGATATGCGGCTCAGAGTTCACCTCCGGCCAAGCCCTTGGCGGCCATATGAGGCGGCACAGGGCGGCTGTCACCGTGCCGCCTAATTCGAATGTTGTTGTGTCTACTACTGCTTCAGTTTCTGCTTCTGCTGCTATGACGACGAACAATTCCTTGTCTTTACACGATGAAGTGGAGATCATTAAGCGTCGGAGGCCAAATATTCTACAGTTGGATCTTAATCTTCCGGCACCGGAGGACGATCACCGGAGTGGTACCGAGTCTAAATTTGCTCTCGTCTTCTCCGCCCCGGCTTTGGTAGATTGTCACTATTAGGAGAAATCAATCAAACAGGAGGAAAAATTGGCCTAATTCAGAACAATGTGAATTATTATCAGTACTATTGTTATACTATATGGACTGTTACAGCTTTTGTTCAATTTTAGTGCCATTTCACTAGCATGGATATTCTTTGAATTCAAAATTCTAGAATTAATAATAAATACATGTATATGTGATATACATTAAATATTACTTTTTTTTTTTTGTCAAGTACTTTGATGATCAACTGGTTTGAATACTTTGAGTAAGTGGTTAGTCTTCACGGTTGCCTTTCATTCACGAAAAGTGAGTGATGGGGCATCTTTTTTTTTTTTTTTTTTTGGTCCTTATTTTTAATTTCTTTTAATATATATTCAAAAGTGTTTTTTGTTCCTTTTTGAGTGGGTGAGCGATGTGGGACACTCAAAAAGAACACAGAAAATGGCAATTTTTGGCATATGGCCAGGGTTTGGCAACACCACCACCACAACTAAAAGTCGTGGATTAGGTTCCTTTTCTTTTCTTTCTTTTTGCCCCCCTAAATTCCGTAGTAATTTATGAAAAAAATAAAATAAAATACATGATACTGCACTACTTTAGCATCATAATCGTATTCTAATAAAAAAAATGTATTAAATTTTTTTTTTCTCCTTTTATTACATTTTTGTAAAAACGCTATAAGAAACCAAAAACACACTCATCAGTCCGTTACAATAAATGACAAGAATAGGTGGATAGCAAAGCTGAGTTGGTAACTGCCAATGCCATATGTATCCACCTGTATGTTTCTTTCTTTTCTTTCTTTCTTGCCTTTTTTTATATTCTATTTTTCTATACTTTAATTTTTTGTGGTCCAACTCAGCTCTAGTTCTGAGCCTAACAGTTCCACCTAATTAACTAACTGTACATATGATCCAAGACTTTTGCAGGTCACTTTAACTAACACAAACACACAAAGGAAAAGAAAACAAAAAAACAAAAAACAAAAACAAAAGTTTTGACCGTGTTTAGAATTGATTTTATTTTTATTTTTATGTTTTTTGAAAAAAAAAATGAAAACGTTTCTATAATGACGTTTGGCGTAATAAAAATAAAAAATGAAAATAATTTTTTAGTTTAGTGTAAAATGAGAGAAAAATGAAAAATAATTTTTAATCGTTTTTCATTTTTTGTTTTCGTTTTCTCCCCTCTCGAGCCGAGAAAAGAGAGAGACATTAATGAGGTTTTTTTATACTGAAAATAATATCTTTATAAAATCATCAAACGTATTTTCAAAAATATTTTTATTTGAGATTAAAAATATTTTTATTTTTATACAAAAAAAATAAAATTATTTTAGAACGAGCACCCGTCAAATTATAATGAGCTAGATGATCTCTAGTATGATGTGGGCCCAGTTTCCACGCCCACAAATTGATATTCCAAAGAAAGATACTCTTTCTTAACGCATATACCACAAACATTTGGCTGCAACTTATCCATGTAACATGGTCTTCATAATTTGGGTCCCACCTTCCATTTTGGTTGTCATATAGCTCTCTCACTAGCTCATCTATACCATCGCATCAAGTTCTTCATCAACTAGCTAGCAACTTCATTACTCAAATTCATTATCTGAAGAATTTTCGTGGGGCATAGAAATATGAAGCTCTATTAGTATTCACGATTTTAGACTGTTAATTTTCTTTTAAATTCGGTTAGATTTACATATTTTTGTTATGATATAATTTTAATGTAACGGCTTAAAAAGTGTGTAATATATATATATATATTATTATAGGATTTTTTTTTTACCCTTAAATTATTCTTTTTAAGTTTGTTTTTTCTCTTAATTTAGAGGATAACCTATAGTCCAAGTTTTCTTCCTTAGTATAGAGTCATGAACTAGTTTATTTATGCAATCATGATTTTGTAAATTAACAATCAAATTGTTATTACCACACCCTCTTGCTGAAATTAAGACATGCAATTAGCCCAAGCATGTGAGAGGGAACAAAATGCAGCGTGAGATGTCCAAACACATTAATTAGAGAACACACACACACACACACACACATATATATATATATATATGGATAATTGAATTGGACATTGTCAACAAGTGGGAAGTTTGACTTGTTGTGTATGTTATTATTATAATTATATCCTTCCCCATGACAATATTATTCCCTTAATCTATATATTGTTCCTCTTTTCCTATAAATATGCTCAGAAAGATGCTAAAGACACCCTTATGATTGGCTCCATAATGCAAATATAACTAGACTATAGTTTCCGGGTTCCCTAATTACAAGCTTGCCCGGCTTAATTATAAAATTGTAATCATTAGTATTCGTATTACCTAGACTTAATCATATTTTTCCTCTTTCCTTATTTTAGCCACACAATAAGGTACGTACTTGCTTAAATTTAACTTGTGGTAATTTCACATGTCCAATTCTAATATGAGATGTTGATTTGAAATTTCTCACTCAAAATTTAAATATATACATTTGTTTTGACAAAATTTAAATATATACATAATACACACGCAATATTAAAAAAAAAAAATTTACACATACGCACACAACACGCAAAACAACAACGAAAATTTTGATGTTAATTATCAAATAGTTTATTTGAATTGGTGTAACACGTACCTTTGCTTTAAAATGCATAAAGTGTTTGGTATTCCTTATCATGATCCTCAATTGCCTCTTCTTTTGCCGCCTAATTATGATGTGGAAATTATGACTTTACTAGAGTTGTTGTCTAAAACTTGCGACTGAGAAGGTATAAACTATATGCATATAACCAATCACAGTGTGACAGGTATGCTATATTTGGTTGTTTTATCTACGTCACAAGTCACAAGTCATAGAGTAACTTTTGTAATTAGAAGATAGGGTCCAGGGTTAACGTACGTGACAAATTATAATGGACATTGGAATATATATATATATATATATACACTTTTATATATGCATATGTATATGTATATCATATTCTCTTAATCCACGGCTGGATGTATGGCTAAGAAACAAGCCTCAGGATTTTATATTGCTTAGCAACAAAAAAAAAAGAAAAGAAAAGAAAGATTTGTAAGTGCATGTATTTTGTTTGTTATAATGGTCTAGCTAGTCATGATCATTATGCATACGACTTGCTAATTATGGATGAAAATTTTCTTTTTGTGTTACAATTTCAAGGAAAGTGTTCGACTATATGCACTGCTCTAGTCCTATTTGGACTCTTTTTTTTTTGTGGGATAAAAGACAACTCTTTTTGTTTTATCCTCATAAACATAAAAAAAGTGAACCTCACATAATGGACTCACGTGCACTCTACAGTATATATATATATATAGGAATTATCTCTGATCAGTCACATGGAAAGTGTCTGACGGAAATGATAGTTGTATAATTCTATATAAATTGTGTATATTTACATGTAAAGTCGTGTATATTTACATGTAAAATCGTGTATATTTAACATGAAATACAATAAATCAATCAATATATATATTTTTATGTTATGTGTTCACTAATTGCTATAAAAAATACATATTTCGAGGATTAATATACATTGTCATTTTTTATAACTTTATACACGACTTTATATGTAATTATACATAATTTATACAGAATTATACAACGGTTATTTTAGTCTGATAAACAGTAAATACCTGAGACTTTACCAATATATATATATATATATAAACAATATAACAGAAAAGATAGACCGATCATGTATTTCTCAGAATCTATTTAAAATGTCATAAACTGAGAGGTTCGAGACAAATTGAGACAACTTTAATAACATATATTTTTCAACCAGCAGCAAATTAATTTATATATTTGTAAATAAAAGGACTCACTCTCACAATTCTTCACGACGATTTCTATTATGTGGATGATAAAAATAAATAAATAAATAGCAATGTTCAGATAATATGATGTGTAACCTTTATACACGCAAGCACTCGCAATTAATATTTAGCAGCAAATAGTACATATGGTCATGTATAGTTTGCTGATAGGGATATTCCTTCTTATTATAAGATGTGTTGTTTGAATGGAAGACTACTTTGACCTTCGGTAATATTCCTTCTTATTAATTGTTATACATTTTTTTTCATCAACTACTCAGTTTATATCTTTCGACTGATTAATATCACACGTATAATTAAAATAATGATACCTAACGATGCGTAAATATTAAGTGACCATTAAAATACGTATAGTTTTGTATGTAGAGGGAAGGAATACACACTAATTTTTAATGATTATATTTTTTATCGATAGTTACTCATTAAATATAAAAGTGAAGTTGTAAAAATTCAATCTTATTAATTACTATACATTTTTTTCATCAACTACTCACTTTATATCTTTCGACTGATTAATATCACACGTACAATTAAAATAATGATATACCTAACGATGCGTAAATATTAAGTATCCATTAAAATACGTATAGTTTTGTATGCGTAGTACAAAGAGAAATTTAATTAGTCCAATCGGTTGACTCAATAAAATTAATTTGATAGCGAAGTGGGGGTTTGCTTCCAAAGGATAGATCTAACTGAATCACTGACCAAATTGAGTTTGGTCTCTACATGACACCAACCATGAGTTGGACACAAGAAATTACTCTTTCCTTTACACAGTATTAATTAATTTCAGGCGGTTTTTCCTACTCTGATGTGCCATAAGTTGGCACCTAATTGATAGGTTTCACACCAGAATAAAGCCAGGTGTGGGTTAGGTGACTTTTTAGTGGTCTCGGTAGTTAAGTAGACATTTGGTTCATATATTCAGAATCATGATTCATAATCATTCTCGTTTTATGTAGAGAATCTTGAATCATGATTCAGAATCAGGGACGAATATAAGAAACAAACATCCTCTAAGTACCCTTGAAAAAGTAGACATGCATGCACTAGAATATACACACATATACATATATGAATTATTTAACGCCATGGATATGTGTTCTACTATTATTGTATGCATTTTTTTTTTTTTTTATTAATTTGAGCAGCGATTTGTATCGTTAACAACTTGTTTTCAATTAATTACATGCTCACGTGTAAAACCCGCGATTCACTGTTTCAAAGGCCTAGTCATTCTCATACAGCAAGGATACATATTACGACAAATTTTATTATACATGTCTTTATCAAAAGTTTTTAGATCTCGTGAAACTATACTTAAATTGTTTTATCCTATTTTTACTTTACCTCTAATAAGTTTTATTTTTGTCTCTATGGAACTGTTTTTTTTTAATGACGTATGATCATGAAACCATTTTTCCATGATGTGCATCATTTTCCTTGGCTGTTTCTCTTTTATTTATACATTACTATTAATGTGAACCCAAAAGCATGATTCGAGCCAAGAAAGTGGCGAGACGGGATAAGATAATATAGGATGAGCTGATCACAACTCTATATCATCTATATTAACACCATTTCACATTATAAACTAGATTATCTATATTATCTATATAAGCATTTTCATCAAAAAAGTAACACCGTTTCTAATCTAATGCAATAATATTTGACAAATTGACAGTACCGGCCATACACATACTTCTCTTTTTAGCTGAACCGGTTCACGCATAATGTGGACTTCTGAAGATCAAGATAAGCATCTTTAATTTTTAAACAGATTAAAATGTGCTTTCCACGTAATTTATGGAAATATTTACTGAAAATTCATTGATGACATAATGAAGATTGATATTTGACAATTTACCAACAAGCAGTGCCTGAACGACTGAGAGTTTTCTGGTTAAATTAGTTTATAAACTATTCAAATCTTAACTGTGTATGTATGTGTATGTATGTATGCGCGCGCGCGTGTGTATTTGTATTTGAAGAAAAAAGAGTTGAACTATTCAATATTTGTTCTTGCATCCTTAGAACAAGAAAGAAAGTAGAAACGAATATAAATATATAAATAATAACAATTAATAACAAGAAACGAATGTAAAGTGCCATTATTTTACAAAAGGAAAAACTTAATATTACAAATAAAAAACTCTAGTATTCAAACCGTTGCTGTGGTGTAGAGGTTATCACGTTAGTTTTACACACTAAAGGTCTCCAGTTCGATCCTGGGCAGCAACATTGTAATGCATTTTGATCACTCATTCAATCGTGTTTTTACTTTTTTAGTTAGTTAAATTGCATTTTGATCACTCATTCAATCATGTTTTTACTTTTTTAGTTCATTTAGTTAAAATTTCGACCCATTTTTCCTTCCCCTGATGGCATTTTAAATTAGAAGGCAATAATCAAATTTCCATGATTCTTCCCATCTGTATCCCTTTTTTTTTATTCTTTCTTCTTTTCATTATGTAGCACAGGTTGAAGCGGATGAAATACTGCAAAAACTCACTAGTTGAACCAAGCCAAAGTGGTCAAGAGGTTTTAAGAAGATAACGAAGAAATTCCATTTCCCAGAAAGATGTCAATTAAGCAACGAAAAATGAACAGAGATATAATGAAATGGTCCGAGTTGGTAATGAGGAAATAACGTGAATGAAGTTCTCAAGACTATTTTTGCAGATTTTAACAATGAATAGGCAGAAGCATAAAAGAAAAACTTGGGTAAACAAGTTCTAAACATCTCTCATTAAACGTTGTTATTTCTCACCATTGGTGATGCAACAATTCAAGTGTGGCATCGTAACGGAAGAATTACATGGCAAGAAACACGACGGTCGAGTCCCGCACTGCTCCGTGGTACTTATCATATGCCGCCGTATCTGTGTTGATTGCATTGCTGATTATAATAGATAACATGTGTTATTATATGATAACAAAAAAACCTTCAATAGCATCAAACAACATTTGGCTATTTAGCTGACATCAATAACTCTGTTTGACAAAGATGAAAAACAACAACATATTCTTAGCACAGTAAAAGACATTTTCTTACTTTCTCCAGTTCCACCTGAATTCTAAGTGAAGGTTGCAATAAAAACCTTCCAATCAAGGAAATCTAGTCAGAATATCTTCCCAAAATCCTCTTTCAGCGGGATAACACTATCCGTCCCCACGGTTTAGTTAGAAATTAAATTTGAAGGAAAAGAATAAACATAATTAAATAAAAATAAAAATAAAAAAAACTACTCGAGTCTTCTAAAGCGGCAATTTTTAAACCTTGTTACATACCCGATGGACAATTTGGTAACAAAAGTTCAACTAATTTAGCCATATTGATTACAAATTAAAAAAAAAAAAGTGTACAAATCAAATTAAAACGACAGAACTCTCCTTGTCAAGCAGCTTAAGGTAATAATGATCTGCTCCTATAATGGTTATCAAATGCCCATGTACCTTAGATCATGGCAAGTCACTTGTATGGACTGTGCATTAAAGTGGGCATACTTAGATGAGCTTTGTCCTTAGTTTGCATACACATTCACCCTCACTTGGGCTGTGACTTCGGGGTGAAGCTTCAGTTCGGCAACATATTCCCCTGTTTCCCGGATCTCCGGAAGTGTCACAATTCGCTTGTCCACGTCCCTACGGATGGATGGAAACGCAGAAAACAGTGTGATCCGACAAAACTCGAGTACAAAACGCTCAAAATATACATAAAAAATCACCAAATCAGCATTTTTTGCTAGCCATTACTAGACGTTATAATTATCCAAAATTGAAACTGCATGAGCGTAGGACATAATTGTTGTGAGTATAAGCTTTTAATGGCTTGCAGTTTATGTTCCGGAATCTTATGAAAAAATCAGCAACTATAATGAAAATAAAATGCTCAGAAACACTAATTGAAACCCATGTCATTATCCTAGTTTTAAGGATAATACCTTTGAAGTTGAGCCTTGATTATGTCCACAAGATCTTGAGCGGTAACACTGCCGAAAAGGGCCTATGTGAGCACCATTTTCATAAAAAGAAAAAGAAAAAGAAAAAGAAAGAAAGGAAAAAAAAATATAAAAAATATAAAAAAAAGAAGACAAACTGCTAAGTGTTGCACTAGGTTCAACTTACCTTCCGAAAATTTGCTTTCCTTTTCCACCTTTGCGCTTCACCTTAAAAGCTCCAACAGTTTCGAAAATGAGAGCCAATTGCTGTGCCTCTTCTTTTACCTGCACAATTGCAGAACAGACAACAAAACGTAGAATTGAACCACATCATCTAATGAGTGAAATTTATTCTCACATTATTTATGCCAAAAACAATAGAAGAAACAGGAATTTTTAACTTCTAGTGGTTATGGACAGAAGGAAGGCAAAGAACTACGAATGTTTCTAACAAGCTGAAGCAAAGTGAGATAAGAAATTGCTTGAAGTTATTTTTATTTTTATTTTTATTTTTTTTTGGGAAAAAGAAGTTAAAAAATTTAAAGTAACTAGCATCATGTGTTGCTTTTTGATCAAATCACAAGACACTACATGTTCAAGTTCCAGAAACCTACATCAGATTATTAACATGCCAAAAGGAACCGAAATGGAAAGAATCATCATGCTAGAAGGAAAATAACATTTAACAAAACTTTTGTGAACTAGCCATCCAAAATTGACAAAAGGGTATGGCTAAAAGGTTAAGGAGAAAATCAAAAGTCGTATCTAGTTACCCGCTTTTTCTCGGCTTCAATTCTTTCCTCTTCAATCTTCATTTCCCTAGAATATAATGAAGAGACACAGTGCTTATATTCAGAAATAGATCATTATTTCATTTTCTCAAAAGTAAATAGAAAAGAGAGCAAAGATGTCCATTAGCTAAAGTTTTTCAACCGTTCCTCTCTTACCAAAATCATGTACTCATGCTATGCAAGATGATATGGAATTATTGTCTACTTCAGCCAACATTCAAAATTGTGGAATGGGAGGTGCGCCTCCCCATGAGGCGCTAAAAAATAGAATAGAGGCGCATGCGTCATAAGGAAGGAAAGACGTGTAAGCTTCAAATGGAAGCAAAGACGCATACACCTCTGTATTTTGAGGCATGCCTTAAGGCTTAGCCTCAACGATTAGCACTATATATTGCCCCCACCAAAAAGTGATCTTATTTCTAAATATAATGGACTAAATCATAGCAAAACCTTGTTGCAGCTAAACCCTGAAAAGAACTACTGAACTAGTCTTTTGGGCTAATGGTGCATTGCCTACAATGCATAACACATTAACATGCCTAAAACCACACAATGTGAAAATAGATCATTTCCCAAGATAGTTCACTAAAAAACAGAGAAAAATTAGTCTAATTATTCAAGGTCTAACTCATACATCTGCAGACGTAACAATAAATGTCTATTACACATTTAAGCATGGGGAGTAGCAACAATATGATATCATAAAAAAAAATGAAAATGAGATTTGGTAAATAATCAAGTTTACCTAGAATGAACCTCTGATTTTCCATGGTTGTGGCATGTATAAATACATGACTACAATTTACTAGCCTTCTCACCATGATGTATTTGTACATTATGTAGTTCTAACTTCTATGTGACGCCACCAATAATTTTTGAGAAATCAATCTAAGTCTTTTCCGCTTAAAACTCCTTGTCCTTAAATCAGTCTTAAAACTTGACTCACTAGTGCTTGATATTGCTAAGAATTAAATAGTCCAAAAGAAAACAATTAACTAAAAAATGGATAATCAAAAATCTCCTGTGTCTAAAAGCAAGAACTCAGATTGTGTTTTAAAAGATGCAAAGATTATCCCATGTATTCTTCCAATCAAACAAATTTCATCCCTGATGTTTGATTTCGTCAAATTTAACTATGCGACTAATTAATATTACCCTTCATAAAAGAAATAATTGCTCACTTTGTGAGATTATGAACAAATCGTCAAATCCATAGTTGCGAAATGCACATTATTGTATGTGATTCCATCAATATTTCGCAAAAGTCAATCTAATATACAAGTGCCTGATAATACTCCGGATTAAAAGGTATCTTAAAATATATGAGAAAAAATGAATTTAAAAAAGAAAAGTAAAAGTAAAAAAGGGGTTCAGTAATGCATTACTTGAGGAGAACGGGAGTGACAATTTGGGCCTTTCCCGTAGGATGCAGATAATTCCTGTAATATCCAGCCTTCACGTTAAGAAGTTGGCCTTTAGTTCCCAAGGCAGGTACATCCTCCTTCAGAATTATCTGAACCACAAAACCCAATAACAAACAAGAATCAAACTTCTGTCCTTTTTTCTTCTTTTAAGCTCAATTACTTAAAACAAACAAACCCACATCCAACATGACCAGAAAACCAAATTTTCTCGGCAACCAAACATAGAGTAGTAAAGAAGGGAGAAACGAAAAGAACCCATTCGTTAGTTTATGTTTTTTTTTTCCTTTTACCGCTCGAGCTTTCTTCGCTTTCTTTTGAGCCAAAATGTGGAAGGTCGTTCTTGGGTCTGAGGATTTGGGGGCTTCGTTTGTGTTGCCTCCAAATCTCTGAAGCAACGAGGAGGAACTCCATGACAGAGTCGAAGCTGTAGATGATGCCATAACTCTCTCTCTCTCTCTCTCTCTCTCTCTCTCTTAATGGATTTTAGACTATCTTATCTATTTCCTTCCTCCCTTCGCTGCAGGCCTACAGCTTTTGAGGAAGCAAAATATGCCCGGGAGGGCCGGGATACTTGTTTTATGTTTTGGCCTCTGTGAATATCAGAAGTTACGAATTTTACCCACTTTGAGTTTCGGAATTTTCACTTGTTTCCTTGTACTTGTTCTTAATTATTAATTAGCATTTCTAGAGCTATCAGCCTATTAATCACTATCAGACCCAAAATCCTGACTTTTTTCGCTTCACTGGTTTGAATTTGATGATTTTGTACATTTTTATTTTAAAAAATGGTTTAGAAATTAGAATCCTTGCGGTTTAAAAAAATTGAAGGCAACAAGAATGAGCTTTTGTTCGTGTTTGGAACCAACGCGTTTTTGAAAACAGTTTTTATGTATTTTGAAATGCAAAAAATGAAAATAAAAACGAAACGACGTTTATTTAGTAAATGTTTTAAAAACGAAAACAATGAGAATAATTTTTGTGAATGAATTAAAAAACAGTTAAAGTTGTTTTCAATTTTATGTTTTCATATTTTAGTACTAATCAACAATATTATAATATATTAATTAATAAATATGATTTTATTTTTTTATTATACTAAAAAAAAATCTCTTAAAAAATTAACAAAAACACAATTTCATAATCGGTCTCAGAATGATTCTCAAAATAATTTCACTTTTATTTTTTATTTAAAATAAAATTATTTTAAAACTAATTCTAAACGCACCCACTGCATACACTATACAAGTGACTAAAAGCTCAATTAAAGTCTAACTGACTATTGAACTAACAATAATAGAAATGGTTAGTCCTAAATCTTAAAAAACAGTTACCAATTTAATTCTTATTCCTAACATCCGGTATTCTGCTAAGAAGGTTGTATGTATCCTTTTTCTCTATGCGTTTTTGTTGTACGCTTACGCAATACATCGGTTTAAAAATGCTACGAGTTAAAAAGGAGTTTACTCTATAATTAGTGAAGTTTTTCTTCTTTTAAAAAAAACAAAGAAAAAGAATCTTATATGTAGAGTAAAATTGTTAAAACATCTTTTGGTTTGGAAAAATTAGACCATTCATCTACCACACTTTAATGGAATTTGTTAACATTAATTAGCTTTTACCACTTTTGGCTTAGCTTGTGCTCCCCACGATACTTGGGGTTGTTCTTTTGCATTTTTTAGTGAAGATTTTGAGTTGAGTTTGAATTATAACTTAAATTGAAGTTATAATTTGAGTTTGTATTTAGTTGTGTACATTTGAGTTATGGTTTGGGATAAAAATATTTTTGAGTTTGTGTTTGAGTGAGTCAAAACTTGAATTTGTATTTAGATAGTATTTTAATAAAAACTCAATAGTGATAGAAAATTTTAATCGGGTATATAGGTGGGGTTTTATTCGTCTTTTTCGTTATCAACGCATAGAAAAAAAATCATTTCAATCAGAATTAAAACGAAAAAGTTATAGCATTTTTAAGAATAAAAAAAAATATTGTTCATTAATTTGAGTTCGAGTTGAAAGGAAAACTTAAACTCGAGTTTTGGTCCCAAACTCAAGTTCAAACTCGAGTTTAAACTTAAAAGAACATGAACTTGAATAAAATTATAACTCGAATTACTTTTGTTTGAGTTTTTATCATTGCCGCCCCTTGAATTTCCAAATTTTATTCAAATTCGGTAACAGCTCACAGGTGGAAAACCTAAAACTGTGGATGATCTGTATTTATCTAAGAAGATGTCATTGGATTTTATACTACAACTTTAAAAAAAGTAATAAAAAAATAATAAAATTAGTACAAGATTATGATCACCATATAATCCCTAGCATTTTGATATATTAATTGTATTAACACTGCTCGAGTTCCGTCCCATTATGTTTTGTGTCGTGTATGTAATAAATAATTAGTGTATTTGAAAGGCTCGTGCAAAATAAATATATTTTGTCTACCAAATGTATTCCTGTCATGAAGTAAAAAGTTCAATATGGGTAGTTTTAAAGTACCCACTTCAAATTCAAAACAATATATTGGGTATTTCGTTGATTAGTTTCGGCAAATAAATGTATGTGACTTGCACGAATAGCATTATGCAATTAAAGAAAAATTTATGGTTAATGGTTGGCACTTTTCTTGATAAATAGACCTTATGCGTTTGGGCTAATTAAGATATAATTATTTGACTCGCTTTTTCATAAGAAACTTGCACACAATTAATGGTAAGCCATATATTAATCAGAAGAAAATATTGCTATCCACGCTTAACTATATAAATCAAATGAAACCAAATCTATCCCTAAAAAAAAAAAAAAAAAAAAAAAAATCCAAATCTATACTTGTCGATACACACTTTATCCTAAGCATATCCCCTAATTTTAACTTATATTATAATCAATAAAATGATTATTAAAGCGTCTATTAATTATTTCTTGTCACGTCCTTATTAAAATAATGCATAGCGATCCCTTTTCCCTTTCGTGTACCCATTAGCGTTTACTCAGGCTTGTGTTCTTCATTTCTTTTTTAATCAGTAAGGAGCTAGATCCCTGCCACGGCGCAAAGTCAGCGATGAAAATCATATTTAATATTTTGTACATATATTATTTATGTTAATTTATTTTCTCTAAATAAATTATTTATCTCACTATCAAATATTTAACTAATAATTCATTATCTACTATACATTCAGGGAAAAAAACAAGAAAAGAAATATTCTCAGACATGGGACATAATGACCCGAGTGGAACAATTGATCTATCTAAATATACGTCTATAATTGTCACACGTACATTTCAGTTCTAATCGTGTCGTAATTAGTCACTCTCGGGGAAAAGAACGATAATTGTGGCTTATGGGGTTGAAAAATTGCAAAGCTAAATGCATGTTTCAGGAAGTATTACTTTCTCATTTAGAAATTATGGGCGCGTTTAGAACTCATTTTAAAATAATTTTATTTTTTGTATAAAAATGAAAATGAAAACGTTTTCAATCTCAGACAAAAATCATTTTTAAAAATGCGTTTAGTTGTTTTATCAAGAGATTGTTTTCAGTATAAAAAAAAAAAAAAAAAAAAAAAACTCATTAATGTCTCTCTTTCTCTGCTTGAGAGAGGAGAAAACGAAAATAAAAAATGAAAAACGACCAAAAGTCATTTTTCATTTCTTTCTTATTTTACACTAAACTAAAAAATCGTTTTCATTTCTATTTTTTGTCTTTATTGTACCAAAAGCCTTTTAGAAACGTTTTCATTTTTGTTTGAAAAATGTAAAAAATAAAAATGGGATCAATTCTAAACACGACCTGTATATTTGTTTCATTTAAAATTTTCACACAATATCATATCATATTACGCAATAGAATTGCCTCACCAACATTTTTCTTGAGGATTACTTTAGGACACTGCCCACAAAATGCCTCCAAAGCCATCCGTGTGTGAAATTAAATACATGAATAGTAATAGTATGCATGGTTTGTGTGGCTGTACCTGGTGAAGGTTGGTTTTTGGACAGTCATATTGCCAAAAAAAAAAAAAAAAAAACAATAAATTTTGTTTGATGAGATTTTTTCAAATAATATATTATGACGTGGCAACGCCACGTGGTTTGTGGAACATCCAAGTATTAGTAGGTCTGGTGTTGGAGCACTCGAAGCTCCGGATACTCGAGCATCTAAGCATCTAAGCGTGTGAGCACCCAAATAACAATGCTTAACCAAGAGGCGAAAGTTTAAAGGGTCACAAGCTAACATGATCAGTATTGTAATGGACGGATGATTAAAGACAGTCAATACCACTAGTGATTAAATTTATTTGATGATCACATTATTAGTTGAACACTCAAGAGGTGGAGATTCATATATATATAGTATTAAAGCGTGATTAAAACTCTAATAAATGGGTGAATTAAACTCCCTAATTCTTAATATACTATTAATCTCTTTGAAAAAGGACTAGACATAATTTTCATTAATACAAAACCTTAAGGCAATTATATCTAACTCTTGGGTTTAACTCAATTTTGTTCTTCGGATTTTCTTTCTGTTTTGCTTCATGTTCTTGACTAATTACTTTGTTTGATTTTAATATGTTGTCCAAAAACATAGATTTAGTGTTCGACAAAATTTTGCTATAATAATGATGGATAAATACAAAAATTTGCACGCATCATGATCTGCTTCGTGTTCTATGTTAAATTTCAAAAACTGTTCATTAATTTTACTGTACGTGATCAAAATTGTCAGAAAATGAAAATTTAGGGACTAAATATATTAAAATTAAAACTTCGATGATTAAAGTATCATTGTGCTCAAAGTTTAGGACTAACAATGCCAATAACGCAAATAAACGCTGACTGCACTATTTTATTTGTCTTAACGGCTAAGCTAATTAGCGTGCTAAAGCACCCAATTTGCGTAATCATATACTAAGCAAATCTTCAGCACCAGAAAAAAAAAGTGAATATTCAGCAAATAAATTATAAAAAAAATAGCAGAACGAAATTAATTATTAATTGATCAGGAAGCGTCAGCCAAGAGGGTGACCCTGATCATACATGGGCAGCAATATGCATTGCATGGGCCAAACGGCTGCTTTTTATTTTTATTTTTATTTTTATTTTTTTCGATCTCTCATAATTAATTAGTTGGCCTGACACACCATGTATTCATGTAACGGTTTGCTCATTGGTTTTCAGCTGACGATTTGTAGCATGAAAAACTTGTCATCTCATGCGGGTGATATTTATCACTTAATAAAATTATCCATTTGAAAATTTCAATTCACGCGCAAAGACAATTATACATAATTCCAATTGTACATCTTTAAAATAATAGACAATCCCAGCAAAAAAAAAAAAAAAAAAAAAAAAAAAAGTCTATTATCATTTGTCGCTACTTCAATCTCTGATGTTCACCATGTATTTAGAATATATAACATTAAACAATTAGTGGAGACTAGGTAAGATAATTAAGCAAGTTTAGGAACTGTTTGGTTCATGACCAAGAAACAACCTTTTGAAGGAAAAAAACTATAGAGCTAGGTAATATATATGTATAAAACATAAAAACTTGTCTAGAATTAATGCTCTGTTAAATAATTTGCAATATTATAACAAGTAGCTAGGATTGATTCTCAATGACTGCTTCAAAATTCTTTGGATTTGGTTGCCAGTATATTCGGTCTCTTGAAATTTTTCTTCCTCCGACTTTGATCGTGTCCTCTTTTCCTTATCTGGATTTTTCCCATTGGGTTTTCCTAATATTAGCTAGATCCCATCATGGATGAATGTTTTTTTTTTTTTCTCAGCTTCATGGATTAAGATGTTGGAATGGTGCTTAATTTCCTCTCGTTATTTTCTCACAGTCTGCTGACATAATGATATATGATTAATGTCGTGAATTTTGTGATTTGTTCCCATGGTATTCAAATTCCAGCCAGAAAAATGAATAATTCAATGTTTAGAGGGTTTCAAATGACCTCAAAATGAAGTTCCATGAGATTGACTTTTTTATGAATGAAAAATTATGGACGCGTTTGGAACTCGTTCCAAAATGATTTTATTTTTTGTATGAAAATGAAAATAAAAATGTTTTCAATCTCAACTAGAAATCATTTTTGAAAATGTGTTTGATAGTTTAATCAAGAGATTGATTTTAGTATAAAAAATTCATTAATGTCTCTATCTTTTTCTCTCTGTTCGAGAGAAGAGAAAACGAAAATAAAAAATAAAAAATGACTAAAAGTGGTTTTTCATTTCTCTTTCATTTTACACTAAGCTTAAAAATCATTTTCATTTCCGTATTTTATCTTTATTGCGCCAAATATCATTTTGAAAATGTTTCATTTTTTCTTTTTAAAAAAAATGAAAAATAAAAATGGGATCAATTCCAAATACGGCCATCATTTTTTCAACCAATTAGAAATTATCATATGATTAATAGTAGTCTTAAAGTTGATATGTGAATATATACGTGATTCATAAGAATTAATGTTGAGCACGTGAGGGCTAACTTTGGATCTTATACCAAACAGTGCCTAGGTTTTATTGTTGTTTTTTTTTGTATTCACCAACTACATATTCTCTCCAACTCCTGATTGGGTCCTCCCAATGTTATAAGACAAGTGACATTTGAGGAAGGCTTTATGTGGGGATGAATAGAAGCTCCATCTAAGATTCTAGGTAGTTCCCGTTGACTTAAATTTCCCTTCTTAAAAAAAAATGCTTTATAGATTTTGCTGTAGTGCTAAAAGTGATATATAGATGATATATAGTTTACGCCCAATTATAGGAGCATATATAGAGATTCAATATTCAAGATCAATTTCAGAGATTGAAACCTCTAATAATGAATATATCAGGTTCAGACACATCTCGTTACACCAATTTGTCACCCGCAGGTTTGTCTCTTCAAATGTACTCCATGGCAGATCAAGACCATCACGATGATCATGATCATCACGATCAAGTTCCATCAAATTCTCACCTCCAACCCAATAACTCAACCGCTCTCGGCTCTCTCCTCTACAGCCTCTCAATCCTCAAAGACAAAGTCCACCAACTGCAGTCGCTGGTCGCCATCCTTCTCTCTGCGGCGGCGGATTCGTCGGCCTCCATAGCCAGCATAAACACGCAGAACGCGATCCATGAGATCGTCATGACTGCCTCTTCCATGTTGTTCAATTTCCAGCACACTGGCGTCGCGTCAACCTCAGGTAACCCTAGCACTACTCATCATGACAACAATAACGATAATAATAGTCCTAACCCAAATATAATTGGCAACGCTGGCTTATTATCATCATCAAAGTCAATAGGGCAGGGTTTGATTTATCCCAGTACTCATGATCATCATCAAACAGTACTTGACTGGTACGGATCTCCTCACGATGATCAAACCTACAACAATAGTACTTGCACCACTTCTCCAATCAAGGAAAATAAGTTCAATAGTACTACCAGTAATCATATGATAATGACCCAATATAGTAAGGACCATAGGGTTGAAGAAAACACGTTTCCTCTAGCTCTAGGGAGTGAAACAAAAAATGGGCAAGGAGCGGTTTCTGCTCCCAAGATTAATCAAGACATAATCGAACTCGGCGCCGCCGATTTGTTGGCGAAATATACGCACTATTGCCAAGTTTGTGGGAAGGGTTTCAAGCGAGACGCCAATTTGCGAATGCACATGAGGGCTCATGGAGATGAGTACAAGACAAGTTCCGCCCTAAGCAATCCCATGAAGAGGATCAACAATGATAGAATCGGGAATATCAATCGAGATTTTTCGACGGCGTCGAAGAAGTATTCGTGTCCTCAAGGAGGGTGTAGGTGGAACCAAAGGCACGCGAAATTCCAGCCGTTGAAGTCGATGATTTGTGTTAAGAATCACTACAAGAGAAGCCATTGTCCCAAGATGTATGTGTGCAAGAAGTGCAACAGAAAGGAGTTTTCACTGTTGTCTGATTTGAGAACTCATGAAAAGCATTGTGGGGATCTTAAGTGGCAATGTTCTTGTGGGACCACATTTTCAAGGAAGGATAAGCTTTTGGGACATGTTTCTTTGTTCGTTGGTCACACACCAGTTATGATGAATGATGCTTCTTCTTCTACTAATAATAATAATAATAATAATAAGACAACAAAAGTTGAGAGCCAATTAGTGTCACATGTGGATCAGATAGATGGCATTGTGAAGATGATGTAATAAAAAAAAAAGGAATTTGTAGACTACAAGGTTTTGATTGTTTTACGTTTGCCGTGTAATATTTATTTCACATATGTTAAATAAAACTACTTACAGTAGCTAGAATTAATTAATTACCTTGTATTTGATTAGGCCAAAAGCGTTTATTTTGTAAGTTGAAATTAAGCATAATGCTGTTAATAAGCTGGGAGTTATTTTGAACATTTTTAGTTTTCAACTTTTTTTTGTTTTTTTTTTTTTTGTTTTTAACAATTTGTATTTGTGTAATTAGTATCATGAAATAAACAGCAAATTTAAGAAGTCCGTTCTTTGTAATTATTGGTTAGCTGATATATTACTTATGTTTATCATGGTTTAGATTCATGCATTAATTAATTAATACGTCTTCTCGTCTATTCTTTATGGTACATACTACATACTAATGCTTGTGCAGTCTGGCTAGCTAACTATAATTAGATTGTCCTCTTTTTTGGCTAACGTAATAGAATGTACTTGCACGCAGTACATAATTTGCGTCTTTTGTTTTTTGTTTTTTTGGAAAAATGTTGTATAACCCATTTGGTTAAATCCTCACTCTTTCACGGACCAATATGGGACCTACAAGTGAGACTTATCTTTTATCGGAGAGCGGAGATTTATGATTCGTTTGATACGAGAATTTAAATTATAGTGATTCTAATTATGATTCTATAATTAAAATTATGATTCATGATTTTAAGTTTAAATTATAATTCTGAAATTATGATTCAGAATTAAGGATTTGAATCACCTTGAATCAAGAGGGAGGTGGTTTTAGAATAATGATTTGAGCTAGTTTAAAACATCACATCAGATTCTAAATTATGATTCAGAATCATCTAAACTAAACACTGATTCTGAAGATTCAGAATCATAATTTAGAATCACTGTAAATAAACACTGATTTTAAACCAAAATCATGATTCTGGATCTATCTACTAAACACACTCTTAGTGTGACGGAGATAAATAAGATTTTTTTAATTGTACATCATTTATCAGTATTATCAAATTTAGCAGCAATAATCTAAAAGGTAAGGATGAGAATCTTGTATGGTTTGTATATATACAAAAATTATAATTTTTTATTCATAAAAAAGTCAATTTACTTTATTTTGAGGTGGTCATTTGAAACCTTCTAAACACGGAGTTACTCATTTTTCTGGCTGGAATTTGAATTCCATGGGAACAAATCACAAAATTCACGACATTCTATCTTTCATTATTCTTTCTCGGTACTCTATCACTCATCATCGCCGAGCAACACCTCCTACCACAGACCCACCATTGCAGCTCCGCCGTCATCATCGGACTCTCGTCCCACCCCACCACGAACCAAAGGCCGTCACACACCCCTCCGTATATATACCAAGTTGTCATTACTCCACCATTGTCGTGGCCTACAACAAATGGGTGAAGATCAGGTGAAATATATAGCACATGAAATGGGTGTAAAGATCGGGTGACAAAAAAATGGGACTAATCCTAATGAATTCTAATTTATATGCGCACATAATTCATGACTACAACAAACGGGCTTTGTAGCAACAACATTCGTTGTTGTTAAAAACCTTGAAAGTCATATATATTTATTGTTGACATTATTCACATCACCAATCAAAATCTAAGTATATTTGACGAAATAAGGTTGCAATAAAACGCAAAGAATGCAACGACATGTTTTAAAATTCTTCTAAATCTTTGACGATCCATCTCATACTATTAATATATAAAACAATTATCATAATAATTGTTCATACCTACTGAGAACTAGATATTTTGGTGACTATGACCTGTTTAGTTTGTTGATTTGAGTTTTTAATTCGAGTTGAGATGTGACTTTATGTGAATTTTTTTATTGTAGCAAAAAAATTAAATATGACTGTTTATGAGAATTTTTTTAATATAACAAAACTCAAATTTTAAACTTAAATCAGTGAAATAAATGGAACCGTATAAACCGGTGATCTTCCTTTGTTATTTTACTCTCCTCGCAGAAACCGGTGTATGGTTTAGTCGATTGGCCCATGTAGCTCCAGCGTCAATATTTGTAAGTAAGTTTTGAAAGAAAAAATGAAAAAGAAATTGAAAGTACTTAATTTTTATGCCAAAAATGTGAGTTTAAACTTTAGAAGTATTATAGATAACATAAAGGGGCAAATTCGTAGTCCAATATGTCAAAAAATAAAAATAACTTTGCGGCAGAATTAAAAAAAAATATTGATAAATGTGTAATGTATAGTTTTGAAACGTTAATTATATTAAAATGAAAATATACCTTTTATAATTTTATAAATCTGGTGATCATCAAACAAACAATTTAGAAACAAACGTGAAGAAACGAAAAATTTTCAAATCCTACTAATTGGCGGTATACTAAAGTGGAGGGAGAATATAACAGATATTCCATATAGACAAATTTCAATAAAGAGTAATTATATTTGCACTCCTAAAATTTATAGATACCCCCAATAATTAGTACTCTGTTAATAAGGATTTGAAAAATCTATCCTTTTATAGATATTATTTTATAATACCTAATTTAACCATTTTATAAAATAAAATAATATGTTCTCAAATTCTCAAAATACATAAAATGAATTTTAAAAAATGTTCAACGAGAATTAGACAAATTTAACACAAGCAAAAACTAAATTTTCAAACAAGAACAACAAATCAAAGTGCGAGCATAGGAATTGCATTACAGGACAAACTATCATTCATGTTATTTTCCTTGAACATTGCACAAATTTTATAACAAACACTAGTCTCGTTCACTTCACATATTTAAAATTTTAATTCGAGTTCAGATGTGACATTTTATGAGAGTTTTTCATTGTAGCAGAAAAAGTTAAATGTGACATTTTTTTAGAGTTTTTTATTATAAAAACCTAAAACTGAAAACTCGAATCAGTGAAATGAACGAGGCCGTAATATATATAATTGAAACCTCCATTAAAATTTTGAAAGCGTTTGACTGAGAGAAATTTTGACCGTGTTTGAAATTGATCTGTTTTTGTTTTTCACGTTTTTTGAGAAAGAAAAAATAAAAACGTTCTTAAAATGCTTTTTGACTCAATAAAGATAAAAAACAGAAATGAAAACGATTTTTTGGTTTAATGTAAAATGAGAGAGAAATAAAAAACGACTTTTAGTCGTTTTTCTTTTTTTGTTTTCGTTTTTTCCTCTCTCGAGCAGAGAGAGACATTAATGAGTTTTTTTATACTGAAAATAATCTCTTGGTAAAATTACTAAACGCATTTTTAAAAATGATTTATGTCTGAGATTAAAAACGTTTCCATTTTCATTTTCATATAAAAAATAAAAATTATTTTAAAATGAGTTCCAAACGTGCGATTTAAATTCATGAAATCAAAATAGCATTAATTAAAGACGTGGGTGTATGCATTTTCATTTTTTTTTGGAAAGTAATATTTCTAATATTTATATTTATAATTAATATGGGGTATTTTAGTGGGTTTAACGTAATTTTAGTACAAGATAAAATTATAATAAATGTAAATTATTATTAAGTGGGGACATTAATAATTTGGTGGGTGTAAATATAATTCCTCTTCAATAAAATAAAAGAAAAATCGAGTATTCTGTAGCAAAAAGAAACCACAAAATATTTAAATCTGGGCTCAAATTTTAATTTTGGGTAAAGCGCGCTTTTAACAAACTGCACGTTTGATGCCCCGCCAAAAGCACAAACTAGTCAAAATTTCAAAATCCAATCTCAACCGTCCATTCATTCATCGCTCTCGAAGATCTTCCTTATCCACGACATCAATCCGCACCCAAAGCTCTAAACCAATCAAATCTCTCCCCTTGCCTCTATATATATAGAATAGAAACAACTCCAAAACCCTCACCAAATCGCTTACTCGTTAAATTCTGTCCCACAGACTTACACTCAAAATCTCTCTCTTTCTCTCTCTCTCTCTCTCTCTCTGAAATGGCGCCGAAGAAGCCCGCAGCGGAGAAGAAACCGGCGGCGGCAGAGAAGTCTCCGGCGGCGGCGGAGAAGTCTCCGGCGGCTGAGAAGAAGCCCCGAGCGGAGAAGAAGCTTCCGAAGGACGCGTCGTCGACGGAGAAGAAGAAGAAGAGGACGAAGAAGAGCGTAGAGACCTACAAGATCTACATCTTCAAGGTCCTGAAGCAAGTCCATCCCGACATCGGGATCTCGAGCAAGGCCATGGGGATCATGAACAGCTTCATCAACGACATCTTCGAGAAGCTCGCCCAGGAGGCTTCCAGGCTCGCGAGGTACAACAAGAAGCCGACCATCACCTCCCGCGAGATCCAGACCGCCGTACGCCTCGTACTGCCCGGTGAGCTCGCCAAGCACGCCGTTTCCGAGGGCACCAAGGCTGTTACTAAATTTACCAGTTCTTAGTTTGGTTTGGATCTGGGGCGATATTTTGTTTTGTGATAAGAGTAGGTTGATCTGGGGTTGGGAAACTAGGGTTTGGGCTTGTAAAGGTGGTGGCTTTTGAGGGAAAATAGGAGATTTTTAGGGGTTTTTTTTTTTTGTTTTTGTTTTTTTTGTTTTTGTGTATTATCTGGTTGTTTTGTTTTGTAATTCCTCGTGCTGTGAAGTATGAAATGGAATATGAATATGGTTTCGTGGTTCTCACAAGTCTAATGTTTCCAAGAAAAAAAAAAGAGGAAGAAAAGATAAAAAAAAAAAAAATGTCATCCTGCGGATTTCACCACTTCTGTTGCTTGTAATAAGCATAAGAGGATGATACAAAAATGGTACTCGCACTCAGGAAATAAGAATTAACCAAACACTTGTAGTATATTTTGTATATTATCGTCTTTTGGGTTCATTTTATTGCTTACATTCTTTACAATTCGTGTAAATATCTCCTAAACTGCAGTATCACATGATCTCAATTAAACAGTAAAAATGCTATTATGCTAAAGCCCTACAGCTACACTCGTTCTCTACTCAATTTCCGCATGTACATAATCGACAAACACGAAATTCTTTTGGAGTTCGTTCAGAGCGTAAGCCGAACCGGCACTGAGAAGCGCGAGTCCTGCCAAAACAACTCGCAATTGAATCTCTGAAGGAATCCCAGCGGAGGCGCAAAAAACAACTGTTGCGCCGATTAGCAGCTTTCGCCATGTTTGGAATGCTGTGTAGGCTTCTTTACATGATGAGCACTTGAGAGTGTGCTGCTCAAACCTGTCCATCATCTGTAGAAGAGAATGAAAACCCAACCAGTTCAGTTACCAACTCTAACGCTTCAAATTGGAGTGTTCTAGTTAATTAAAGTGAAGTTCTACAATGCAGGGTGGAAAATTCCCGGCATTGATGCTTGATGATAGTTGTAAAAACGACAACAGGATATGTAAAGGCACCTACACTAGCGACGCCAACAATAAATATGCGTGAGGAGCGTTATACTCGCAAATCTAGAAGGTAGATCTTCACACGACCACAAGAAAATGTAAAGTATGAACTGGAAGCTATGACGACATTCTTGTAAAATGAACCGACAGAAAATGAGAGGGCTACTAACACGATAGCGAAATCTACTGCTCAAAAATCCAAGAACCCTTATTAATTTAAGTGGTTTGAGTTGGATCAAGTTTTATGTGCTTCCTCACCACACGTTTTGATAAGATGGTTGATGGTAGAGGTTGTTGGCTGCTCGTGCCAAACCATTCGGGTTGGCTATTGCCATGTCGTCTCAGCCAATTCCGAAATGCCAAAACAAAACGATCAGCTTGGGTGGGTGTGAAGGTGATTTTGGTGTATTCCTTGTTAACATCTGTAGAATCGTCCTTTGATTTTGAATGAAAGATCTTCTCTTGTCCCTGAAGGACAATCATGTCTCCATCATACACTTTATTTGAAGTCCAGTGTTCGTGCCATCTCGGAACCACCTGTAAAGAAGCCACAAAGTTCAATCAATAGAAGACAAGTCCAAGTCCAACTGTAACCACAAGCATTTCAATCCTACCCCAGGAATCTTATTCACTAAAATGTTCCTTAAACAGGAAAGAAGAATGACGTTTATATGCCTTAATCTGGGTGTTTATCTGAGTTTCAATTCATGAGTAGCAGTGTCTCATTTTCAACCACTCACTTTGTCGAAGAAGTTTCATTGCAGGGCCTTAGATAGGATATACAAAATTTTGAATTTTGATAGCAAGTGCTTTTCCATGTTTTTTGCAAGTAATTCTAGCCAAATGCTCACCAAATCAAATTTCACGCGCATCAAAATCGGGGTCACAATTTTTTGTACTTTTCAAAACCAAATGATCTTATAACTGAGGAAGCTATGCTTAATTTTCTTGTAGAACTCAAGTTGGAGAAGACAGTTGATTTTGGGAAAATATCTTCTGTAGGGTACAAAAAATATTTGATAGGTACTGCAAGTTTCAAACCATAAAATTTTCATAAAGTCCCGTTAAAGTTGTATACAATTTTAGGTTTAATGTGATTCTAATATAATCTGATGGTCCATAATAGCACAGTATACCCTACCACAGAATTCTCAATTCACTATGATTTTTTTAGGTAGATTTAGTTATAAGAGAAGAAAAAGAGGATGTATCTCACCTGCCACCAGGCGGGACCTGGCATTGTGAACTGGAAGAAGTTTCGAGCGCTACAAACAATAGAACGCGTCTTTCCCGGAGCCATAGGTACATTGAAAGAGCAAATCCAAATCACCCATTTTTGATCACCAACAAATGGGAGCTTTGTGTCAATCTCTACCCTGAAGTAGTCACAGAAGCAACAAATAGTCAAAAACTAAAAACCAAATTGCTCTAGCAACTAGAAGCTAAGTTTGGGACAAATAGCTCTTCAAATTTTGTCCACAAGTCTCAACAACATCATTAAACGTTTATCTAAACTGTTCACTGGAAATATTTTTCGAACAAAAGAACAATAACAGCATCAAAGACAATAAAATGTATGCATCTTTTGTGGCTACTAAGAGAGCGATGAGGTTACTTGTTCGTATAATAGCAAGGCGCAACAAAATTAGCACTGATCCGAGGGTTCCCATCATTAGCTCCGGCGAAGCCCCAAGGGCCGGTCGACTCCATTTTAAATGGCAAAGGCTTTGCTCTGTCTCTTCTTCCTGTAACCTGTGAAGTGAATTCATCAATTGTTGCTATAAAGAAATTTAACTATATAAGTACACGCAGATCATTGTTGAGTTGCAGTAATTCTTAGCTACCATGTACGGTTTCCTGATTTTTTTTCCTTGTACTGCAAGAAAAACTCTAGCAAATTCGCAACAAGATAACACACAACTTCAAAGTGGAAAAGAAAAATCATTATTTGGATTGTTATGAGTGCGCTAGGATAAAATCTCTACATAGATTGTAGGAATTAGAGAAAGTAGTAGGAATTCAGTTACACGCGAATCAAAGTCTGTCCTGAAATGTTCTACATAGCTGTACATTTGTAAAATGAGAAGAGACGCAGTTCATAGAAGCCCAAAAAAAAAAAAAAATCCATCTAGAGATAAGCTTTTTCTAGACCCATCATCAAACTCCGATCCTCATTAAATCTTGGGTGTGATTCGTTTCTTTCGCTTTCTCTGTTCAATTTCTTGTTTGATTTCTGTTTTACCGTCTTCTGGTTATGCAATTCTTGTCTCTGTCTATTTGTTTGTGTAATGCTTGCAGACATTAGTCAATTGGTTAATTGGATTGTTACAACAGTACAATAAAAAACTAAATCTGATCATGTACCTTGTGATGAGCAAAATCAATATGTGAAGGATCTGAGACATTCTCCATGAGGGTATCATAGCCATAGAAGAGATCACGCTGAATTGTGACTGATGAAAACTCGGGTTTATCAAAGTCATCGGGCAACCTAAGTGCGAATAAAATAGAAGAATATCACTATCAGAATTCAGATCCAGAAGATCATTAAAATATTACAAACATCACAGTCAACTATGGACAGTAATATACTTTAGAGACTGTTATCAGTTAACAATATTAAAATACGAACTTTAGAGAAAGCAAGGATTAAAAATATGAACTTTCGAAGTATAAAGAAAGCAAAGATGATAGTAAATTATTTTACATGGGAGGCTTGGTGGCGCTTGCTCTTTCCCAACCATTCTCATCCGGCCAAACGAAGAGCAAGCCTTGGGAGACCAGTGTGGGGAACCTCGTGGCACATGCTCTCGGAGACTTGACAGCACGAGCTTCTGGACCTTCCGTTGCAGCCTGCGGGATCTTGACGCAAGATCCACACCCATCAAAGGACCATCCATGGTACGAACACTGCAAGTTTCCACCTTCATCAATCCGCCCTTCCTGCCAAAGCAAACAAACCCAATTGAATTTGAACCCACTTCATGAGGCAATTTTCTGATGATTTCAGATTTCATAAAACACACATAGGTCACATTCATTTTATCGATTCGAGTTTTGTCACAGCAAAAAGCTCTGAAAAACAATCACATTTAATTTTTTTACTACATTAAAAAACTTTCACATAAAATCACAACTCAACTCGAATTAAAAACTCGAACCAGCGAACTAAACGAGCCCATACACCCTTATTGCAATTCAGCATCATGAACAATACCAAACATAGGGCCTTGTTCATTTCACCGATTCGAGTTTTCAGTTTTAGGTTTTTACAGTTAAAGCTCTCAGAAAATATCACATCTAATTTTTTCTGCTACAGTGAAAAACTCTAAGAAAATGTCACATCTCAACTAGAATTGAAAACTCGAATCCGCGAAGTGAACGAGACCTAATCTAGTTTTTGAAAAGTTTTTCTTCCTCCTTTTTTGGTGAATAATTAAACCATGCAACACATGTTCCACAGAAACCAACTTTAAGGCCGTAATTCCTCTTACATTACAACACCAATTCTGCTGAAATACAATATTATAATCGCCAAAATCGGATTCTGCACTTTTTTTCTCTAATCAAATAATTAATTGTACAAAAAGACGTTATTATCCTCCATCAAACAAAATGACGATTTTCTCAAAGACTGGATTTTTTTAATTAATTTTTTGCTGATCTTCAAAATTAATCTCATTATAGAGGGAAAAGAAGTCTTGTTGCACGTTTAATTTTGTCTAAATTCGATACAGTAGATTAAACACAAAGGAAGTTTCTATTATTACCCGTTTTTAAGCTCTAACATCATAGAATCTCTATCTTTTGCATCAATTTCTCAGCAACCAAACAGAGAGTAAACAAACAAGACACCCCACTGAAAGATTAAAAAAAAATTCAATCCAATCTTGCAAATAAAGTAGTAACTCTATGTGGGCACTTGTCATCAAAACACATCATTGTATTCTTTGTGCCGCACAAAAACGTCCTTTCCCACAATTAATTATTTACAGAATCTGACATCTTTTAAATATTACAAGATTAGAAAAACTAAACCAAATAATCTCAGTATCTGTAACTTTTCCATCAATTTCTCAGCAAACAAACTGAGTATACATATAAAATATTTAAAAAAGAAAAATCGAATCTTACAGATAAAGGGGCTAGTCTATGTGGGCACTTGTCGTCAAAAGCAACCCACTGGCCGGTATTCTTGTCGTTCCACAAAACTAAGTCACGACCCAGAAGCTGAAATGGAGTGGGTGTAAGTGGGTCCAAATCCTCCACCAGAGAAACCGGGTACCAGTGATCTCTCCACGAGAATTTCGACAACCCACTTTCCTCCCCAATCTCCTCATCGACTTTATCGAACTCCGGGGTCGAAGGTTGTTGTTGTTGTTGTGTCGGAGGAGCCGCCACTCTTAACCTCGTCGGTGATCTTAAAGTCTTTGATTTGTTGTTGTTATTGGAGATCGTCATGAAAGGAAGAGCTTTGAAGGATTTGTTAGTTGAGGATGAGAGTGTAGTAAAGATTGAAGCAGAGGCTGGGGAAGAAGAGAGAAGAAGCGCCATTGTTCTTGGGATTGTTTGAGATTCCAGAGAGAGAGAGAGAGGTGTTTTTGTTGGGAATTCTAGAGAGTAGAAGACTTTGCGTGTAAGCTTAAACTCTCTCTCCCTCTGTCTGTATCTGCGAATGTGTTAAAGTGGGAAGAGAAGAAGAAAGAAATATTAGTAGTAGAACTAGAGTATGAAAAAACTGTTTCCAGCCAATTCTTTTTTTATTATTTTTTATTATTTTTTTTACCGCCTCCGATGGGATCTACTCACTAATAGGATCATATTAAAAAATATATATATTCCGAATAAATAAATTTTTATATAAATTAAATGATTAAAAATAAAAAATTATCGAATAATTTATTTCTTAATTTTATTAAAAATAATAGTTTAAAAAGAATTGTTTTAAAAGGCTTTCTTTTGATAGTACAAAAAAAATTAAATTATTTATAATATTTTATTTTTCAATCGTTAAATATTAAAAATTGTTTGTTTTGTTAATTTTTTTTAATTTAAGTCTCGTTCATTTCACCGATTTGAGTTTTCAGTTTTAAATTTTTATAGTAAAAAGCTTTTAAAAAATGTCACATCTAACTTTTTCTGTCACAGTGAAAAGTTCTAAAAAAATATCACATCTCAACTCGATTTAAAAACTCGAATCCGCGAAGTGAACGAAGCTTAATGTAATTTTAATTAAATTTAACAATTAAAACTTATTCTTATTGTTAGGCCGACTTACCTAGAAAAATCTCATGTTTTAAACCTTAACTCTTGCATTTACTTTTATTTATTTATGATTTTGTATATTTTTTTAATTTTTATGTAGTAAACCTCCTTGGAAATGGAGGAAATTTTGTCTAAAAGTGGGGGTCGTTGGGTTATTGAGGTGATGTTTGGCAGAGGAGTTCGTTCTCTGATTTGAATCATGATTCGTGGTTCGTTACAGTATTTTTTCTCACAAAAAATATATGTAAATCGAAAATGATTCTAATCACATAGTTTTAATCCATGAACCAAACGGACTCTGAGAATTTCAGAGGTAATTTATTATTTATTTTTTTTTTTAGGAGGGAGACGAAAATTCACGTCCACAAATAGAGTTTGGAGGATTCTGAATTTCTCATTCGGACAAAATTAAATCACGAAAAAAGAAAAGAAAAGAAAAGGCCAAAAAAAAATCAATGGGGGAAAAGAGAGAGGATATTGTAAGAAGGACTGTTTATCTTTGACCGCCAATTGATGGGAACATCTCTGGGACTGCACCATGATCTACCAATGTAACTGCGCACATCATAGCAACGTTCCCTACTGGGCCCCATCCCGTCATCTCGTCTTTCACAATTCACATTGTTTTTCATGTGGGACCCACCATGTGAGAATAAAAATTAAAAACGGTTAGAAAAAAAGCGTTTGGCATAAAATTTTTTAAAATTAAAACTAAAACTACTGTTTTCATTTTTTTCTTTTTTCTCATGTTTCTAAAAACGGTATTTTTCCATTTTGATTTTTCTTGTTTTTATTTTTCACTCTTTTGTGACTGTGCCCC